AAAGGATTGGACAGGCTGCGACCTGGTCCAGCAATTGGCTCCTGGAGTTAAACCCCACCAAGTCAAAGTCATAAAGATTGGGGGAAGGGCAAAGAAGGCCGCAGAGGGAAATTTCATTTCTGGGGGTCAGAGATTTACAAACCTCACTCATGGAAAAAGATCTTGGGTGAGTATAACACCAGGCACATCTCCTGAAGCCAATCAACCAAATAATCTGCTGCAGCATAGGGGGCGCCTAGCAAACCTCAGAACAGCATTCCGACATTTTAAATTAAGGAATCATTCAGGACCCTGTACACCGTGTACGTTAGGCCATTTTGGAGTATGGGGGCCACCAGTTTGGAACCCAACACCTACCCAAGCACGTGAAGAAAAATAGAGAAAGTGCAAAGGTTTGAAACAAGACTAGTCCCAGAGCTAAGAGGTATGTCCTACGAGGAGAGGTTAAGGAAATAAACCCGGACGACATGGGGGGAAGGAGAGATAGGGGGACATGATAACGACATAAAAAATTTGAGAGGAATTGACAAGGTGGACAAAGACAGGATGTTCCAGAGATTGGACACAGTAACAAGGGGACACAGTTGGAAGCTGAAGACACAGATAAATTTCCAGGGATGTTAGGAAGTATTTCTTCAGCCACAGAGTAGTCAGTAAGGGGAATAGTTTGGGAAGCGATGTAGTGGAGGCAGGATCCATACATAGCTTTTAAGCAGGGGTATGATAAAGCTCACGGCTCAGGGAGGAGTGACCTAGTAGCGATCAGTGAAGGGGCGGGGCCAGGAGCTCGGATCGCCCCCCGAACCTAACTAGGTGACACAACACAACAAACACACACAACACCAACCACCACACACACACCCACCCCAAACACCACAACACCCACAACACCCACAACCCCCCACACACACCACACACCACCACACACACACCCACCACACACCACACACACACACCACACACCCCACCACACACACACACCAAACCACCCCACACACACCCACCCCACCCACACCCACCCCACCACCCACACCACACACACACACACACACACACGACACGCACACGCCCACACACACACGCCCACACGCAAAAGCACATACACACACACACACCACCACACAAAACACACACACACACACAAAAACCCACCACCCTCCCCCACTTGACCAACACTAGACCAAAACTACACCCCTTCCCCAAACCACTCCCCTTAGCCCCCTACCCCCCCCAAACCCCTAACCCCTCCCCAAACCGTCTAACCCCCGCCCAAAAACTCCCTCCCCCCCAAAAACCATCCTCCCCCCCCAAAAACCATCTCCCCTCTCCCCCAAAAACCATCTAACTCCCTCCCCCCAACTATTTTCCCCCTCAAAAACCCATCCCCCCCCCCCACAACCTCCACCCCCTCTCCTAACCATCTATTCCCCTCCCCCTAACCGGGATGAGGAAAGGGGTTCCAAGGACGAACTGAGAGGGAGGAATGGAGATGAGCAAAAAAAAGGGGGAAGATGGGAAGGAGACTAGTGAGGGGAAAAGGGAAAGGAAGGGGGGTTTAGCAGCGGGAATGCAGAAGGTGGAAGAACAGGCCACAGAAGCGGAAACAAGATAGAGGATTAAAAAGAGGGCTGAGAACTGAAAAGCACAGGAAAAAAGATATTCAGAAGTAGCATGGAAAATGGAAATCGACACAGAAACAGGTCCGAAGGAAGCAGGGAAACTAAACTGTATGCGAGGTCCTGTAAAAACCCACAGGGGGCCAAAACAAGAAGGGAGATTAGGACGAAAGAGGGGTTTTGGAAGAATCGAAGGAATGGACAGTGCAAGGACCTTCCCGATACTGTGGGGGCCAGGGCAGGTGAGCGGGAAAGGATAAACCAAGAAGATGGGGGCCCAAAACGAGGGAAAGGGACTAAAGGGAAGGAACACTCCACGGGAGGAATTAAAACACATCAGAGGATCCCAATGGGAAAGTCACAGTGGAGGGGGAAAAGGGAGGGGATCCGGTTTGTCTATGGGCTAGCAAAGCAAAAGGGGGGGAAATTATGATAAAAGAAAGCGGAGGGGGAAAAAAAAGCGATTGAAGACATCATAAAGGTGATAGGCGGGGGGCATGACCCAGGGGGCAAATTTTTCGGAAAATTTGGGGTGTTTCCAAGAAAGGAAGGGGCCTCTCAAAGTAATTTTAAAAGGGCAGAATCAACCGAACCATGACCTGAGGAGAAAGCACGGTGAGAGGAAAGCAGGATTTCCCGGAGTGTGTACCTGCCCGAGACAGAACACAGGACGAAGGAAAGACAATAAAAGGGAGAGTTAAAAAACAAAAAGGAGAAATGGGGGAAATAAAAAAGGAGAGAGGAAAAAACCCCCAGGTCAAAGGAAGGACAAGCGCACCCCCCAGAAACACTGCAGAAGGACCCCCCCGGGACACCCCCAAGGCAACTGAAAAAAAAACCAACACACCACCGACCCCTCTTTTTTCCCCCCCCCGCACCACATTTTCAGTATTAAAACAGAATTTGAAGGTTTGGTACACAAATGCGATGGATTAACGAATAAACATGAGGGAATGGCAAGAAAGAATCAATGAGAAGACCCAAAAATCTAGCATTACAAAAAAAAAATCATGGAGACAAAAACGTTGCAATTTCCCACCAGGATCCCCAGTCTGAGGAAAGTAAAGGGGCAGGGGGGGGGGTGGGGTTGCTTGCCCGTAAAAAACAGAGGGAAATTCGAGAAAATGGAAGGAATAGTGAGAGGGGAGAAAGAGACACAAGCAGGTACATTCAGTCGGGGGAACACAAAGTGTCATTGCGTGATGTAAAATCCACCACAGAAGAGGAGGAAGAGGGGAATATGAAGAGGCAACAGAGCAATGGTGGCACATTGTGAGGTGGCAAGAAGGTCACCCGCAGAGAAAATTTTGGGGTTTGGGGGATTTAAACCACAGGGGGGATTGACTGGGAAAACCGGGAGCCACAGGGGGGTCCGAAAAATGGGGCCAGGATGTTGGACGTGGTGCGGAAAACCCCATGCACCAACTGTTAAGGACACTACCAGGTAGAGGGGAGGATGAACCCCGCAAGATTTGGGCCTTGTGTTCACCCTGGGGAGTCGCTTTAGGACATCAAGTATGAGAGTCCCCTAGGGTGCGACCACGTGGTTCTGTGCTTTGAATATAGTAGGCTGCAAATGGGAGAAAAAAAGGGTGAATGGGAAAAAAACCTGACTATAAAAGAGGGGGGACTACTAGGGTTGAAAAAATTCCCGCGGGGGGTCCTGGGACAGAAAACTGGCAGGAAAGCCCGTAAATGAAATGATGGAATATGTAGCAACAAAATCAAAGGGGGCAGTGGAAAAGGTTATTCCCCGGGGAACAGTAACACGGGGAAGCCAGAACAAGCCCTGGGTTACCGACGGGTAAGGAGGCAAAAAACAAAGTGCAATAGAGAAGGAAAAAGACAGAAGGCAAGAACACACGAAAATTGGGAGATCGTGCAGAGCCGGAATGAGTACGCCCAGGTAAGGGGGAGGCCCAGCGACAGTATGAAAATGAATAGGGATCGAAATCAAAATGACCCGAAAAGTTGTATAGCCAACAGGAGGGGGGACAACAGTCAAAGACCCCGGTGATCAGATTAGGGACAGAAGGGGGAGAACTCAAAGAAATGATCAGGAGGTATGTTAGGCGAAAAGGAGATTCAAGGAAAATTTTTTCAGTAAAAAAGACAGGAAGGGTGTGGGGAAAACAGAAAAGAAGGGAAAAACAAGAGGGGAAATACCCAAAAAGTGTTAGAGACATAGAACAAAAATGAGGAGGAGGTGAAAAAGTTTAAGTGACCTTGACCTCAAAAGGGGTGGGGGGACAACATCTCCCATGGGGCCTTAGAGAAGGGTAGAGATGCTGTGTGTGCCCCTAAACCCCAAACTTCAAAAACATCCCTTGAAACTGGGCAACTACCTGAGAAAAAGGGAAGACAGCTAATGTGTCCCATATTTAAGAAAGGAAACAGAAAAAAGAGGCACTAAACTACAGACCTGGTCTCGAATGTATCGTGTGCAAGGTCATGGAGAAGATTATCAGGAGGGGGATGGTCGAACACCCGGAAGGAAAAAGTTTAAATAAAACGCATGGGTTCATGGGAAAGGGAAAATTTGTATCACAAACCCCCTGGAGTTTTTGACAAGGGAAAAAGAAGTAAGAAACCGGGGAGAGGGGTTGGGTAGATTGCGTTTTCTAGACTGCGGAAGGGCCTTTTACCAGTTCCCCACAAGAGATTAGTGCAGAAACGGGGACAGGGACACGTAAAAGGGAAAGGGGCCCGCAATGGATAAGGGGAAAACCCGATGGGAGGCAGAACGAGTATGGTACGTGAAGAGGGATACAGTGGGGCCGTTACGAGCGGGGTCCCACAGGGGTCAGTTCTAGGACCAGTGTATTTTTTATTATGTGAACGACATGATGGAAAAGGGAAAAGACTCTGAAGTGTCCCCGTTTGCAGATGAGTGAAACTGATGAGAAGAATTAAAACGGCGAGGATGAGGCAGGGTGCAAAGAGACCTGGAGAGGGCTGGACAGGGTCCAGTAACTGCTTTCGAATTAATCCCCAAAACAAAGTCTGAAGTTGGGGGGGGCAAAGAAACCCCAGACAGAGTTAGGCTTTGGGGGAAAAGACACAGACCTCACTCAGGGGGAAAGACCTTGGGGTGACCTAAACCGAGCACATCACCCGGGGGCACACTCAACCAAATAATGCTGCGCATACGGGCGCCTGGCAAAATGAGAATGGGGTTCGATACCTTTAAAAAGGGAAAGTTCAAGACATGACCTGTGAGTTAGGCCCATATGGAGTTGCAGCACCAGTTGGAACCCACACCTGGTAAACCGTCAAGAAGTTAGAGAAAGTACAAAAAGGGTTTTCAACAAGGTGTCCCAGGCTCAAGGGAATGTCGTACGAGGAAAAGGTTTTAAAGGGAAATCGGATGAGACACTGGAGGACAGAAGGTAGGGGGAGACATGATAACGACATACAAGATACTGCGGGGAATAGACAAGGTGGACAGAGATAGGATTTTCCCAGAGAGGGACACGGGGACAAGGGGTCACAACTGAAGCTAAAGGGACTCAGACGAGTCACAGGGACGTTAGGAAGTATTTCTTCAGTCATAGAGTCGTCAGCAAGTGGAATAGCCTAGCAAGTGAGTAGTGGAGGCAGGAACCATACATAGTTTTAAAAAGAGGTATGCAAACCTCGGGAAGCGAGAGAGAGAGGATCCAGTAGTAAATCAGTGAAGAGGCGGGGCCGGGAAAGCTGAGTCTCGCCCCCTGCAACCACAATTAGTGAGTACAATTAGGTGAGTACACACACACACACACACACACACACACACACACACACACACACACACACACACACACACACAATAACAAACAATAACAGCGAAGTACAAGAATACGTCAATAAATATTCCCCTGAAGTCTTTAACAATGGACCAAAGGAGAATCCACGAGGAAAGTAAGGTAGGGTCGAGCAGCAAAGATCAAGAAAATTCTGAGTATAATGAAGGCAATGAGAGAGCTCCGTGGGGAATTACAGGGAAGGAAAGTGATGCGATTGGAGAAAACGTCACCTTATGTGAAGCAACAGATGAGTTGTGTGATACCCACTTAGCAAAGATATTCAGCAGCTGCTGAATAACTGCAAAGGTGTTGATAATAGACAGGAAAGGTGGTAGACATGAAGCTCTGGACTGTAGACCGGTTTCCCTAACTAGCTAACTGGGGATGGTGCTACTAATGATAGTTCCAGAGATAGTAGTTGAACACCTAGCAATAAATTGATTTAAAATAAACAGCTAGCATGGGCTTAGAGATGGCAGATCTTACCTCAGGAATTTGCTAGGGTTGTATGAGAGTATAGCGGAAGTGAGGCAGAAGAAAGGTGGATAGACTGTATCTTCTTCGAGTGAGAGAAAGCATTAGACAGTGCTGCACGGAACACTGCTGTGCTAGCTGCAACAATAGGCACAATTAGAAAGAAAACTAGTCAAGTGTATACATAGCAAATAGGAAGTAGAGGACAAAGGTGTTAGGGTAGACACGGGTGATGAGCAGAGTCCCTCAAGGATCAGTGTTTGGACTCCTGTTGTTCCTCGTATAAGCGAATGACCTAATGGAAGACATTGAATCCCATATATCACTGCGTGCAGATAATGTGAAACTAATGAAAAAAAGATGGCAACCAGACTGATTATCTCATCTCTGGTACATAGTTCTGTCTTCCAATTATGTCCTTGAATTTGTATTGACAGAGCCACTGGTTAGCCAAACGTCTATAACAAAAAAAGAAAACAGATGTTACACGTGTCTAAATCTTCATCTCCAAGGCAGCAGAGACGTTAGATACAAAACTGCTAACAAACAATCATCAGAGCTGCTTGTGTATAAATGGTTTAGAAAACCGACTCGTTGATAAATGAGACGCTTGTGTATCATTTTGATATTTTTATTTTGGAAACATATATCCAGCCAAGTGTGTTCTCCAGTCCAACACAGAGAACCTGTCTGTAATACTACCTGTCTGTAATACTACCTGTCTGTAATATTACTTGTCTGTAATACTACCTGTCTGTAATACTACGTGTCTGCACAATTTCTTGTCTGTAGTACTACCTGTCTCTATACCTTCCTGTCTGTATAACTTCCTGTCTGTAATACTACCTGTCTCTATAACTTCCTGTCTTTATAACTTCCTGTCTGTATAACTTCCTGTCTGCATAACTTCATTGCCTCCATCTTTCTCTTGATATTCAACACTTAGAAAAAAATCCCCATGATTCTTCCACCAAAACATTTGACCTCATTGCCATGATCTTTGACTCCCTCTCCTTTTTTACGTCATGATCATATTGAATAAAAAATTACGAATAACCATAAGACGCGATCAAAATCCTTAATAAGTGATACATGTCTTACAGACGGCACTTGCCTTGTAAGAGTCAATCTTATTTTTATCTTCCTCACTCTTATTTTCTGCGCTTTTGTGATACCAATATTTTATCTACGCACAGGGAACAAGGAGTGGCGGGCAAGCACGCTGCGTTCTGCAGCTCTGCGTACGCTGGTTCAACTCTGCAGTGTTGACATCCTTGCAGTATCTGAAGAAAGCAACTCCTGGTTGCTGGATGTTCTTGCGGTCTCTGGAGGAAGCATCTGCTGATTGGCGGATATTCTTGCGGTCTCTGGAGGAAGCATCTGCTGATTGGCGGATATTCTTGCGGTCTCTGGAGGAAGCAGCTGCTGATTGGCGGATATTCATGCGGTCTCTGGAGGAAGCAGCTGCTGATTGGCGGATATTCATGCGGTCTCTGGTGGAAGCAGCTGCTGATTGGCGGATATTCATGCGGTCTCTGGAGGAAGCAGCTGCTGATTGGCGGATATTCATGCGGTCTCTGGAAGCAGCTGTTGATTGTCTCTCCCCTCCCCAAGATGTCACGTATGACGACGTCTGCTGAGGATATCTCTGTCCATATATATATATATATATATATATATATATATATATAATATATATATATATATATATATTATATATATATATATATATAAATTATATATATATTATATTATTGTATCGTTGAAATTGATTATCTAATAAGTGATTGTTTTGCGAGGGAAGACTAAGAAATAAAACAGAGCAGTGCTACAGAAGGAATTAAAATCTAACCAATCATTTTAAGTGAGTTCGGTCGGGGTACATAAACGTTCATACAGACAAGGAACATATAAAAAGTGCATTATTATTATTATTATTATATTATTATTATTATTATTATTATTATTATTATTATTATTATTATTATTATTATTATTATTATTATTATTATTATTATTATTATCGTGAGAAAGCACTAAACCTGTATGAGACATTAAGCGCATGACGAATGAGAATGAAATAGGTTTGACGCGATGAATAACATAAGAAAGGAGGAACACTGCAGCAACCCTACTGGCCCATACTAGGCAGGTCTTTCTCAATCACACAGCTCCGATTCCTTGCGTCAAGAGCCTCATCCCCTCCCCCAGAAGAATTTTCCTTGAAAGGAAAATGCCTTTAAACCCAGCCACTTTAAACCCAGCCACTTTAAACCCAGTCACTTTAAACCCAGTTAAGATACCACTTAGAAATTCCTCGCTACAAGTGTGATTTTTTTGTAGGTTCTGATCCCGGATAAGGGGTGAAAGTGAGCTTTTGAAGTGTCCTCGATGAGCTTGCAAGGTTTCGGGCTGCTCAACACGTCTTGCAAAACTAAGTCTGAAACGAGTGCCATGTTGCAGTGTCTGACGTGGTGAAGATCCACAAGTTGCAGATCTGGTTTTGATTTGGGACAACGTTTGGCCCTGTGCAGAGCTTTCTCGAGTAACACCTTGTGTATGGAGCTTTATCAGCTCACACCTTGTGTGTGGAGCTTTATGAAGTCAAACCTTATGTATAGAGCTTTATCAAGTCACACTTTCATTTTTATTTTCAAACATTTCATCGTTGAAGAGGCAGTCTCAGTGAAGAGGCGCTTCTCAGAGCCCACTTCGCCAGTCACTGCTGTCGCGGTAAAAAAAGTATATTTAAAAACACAACACAGCAAAATGTGATAACCTTCTGGAATGTAAATATATAATATACAGAAATATAGCACTATAGCAGATGTATAATTAAGGTAAAACAAAATGATTTCTACGCCTGTGTCACACTTTTGAAAGAGCATATGTAGGATATTAGAGCCTGAAATAGAGAATCATTGGATGCTCGTTTGTTTTTATTGGGGAGAGATGCTGAGCTATGAATGCTCTTTGTTTCCTCCTCCGTGAGGTTCAGAATCTCTATAGGGAGAGTTGTTGAGCTATGAATGTTCTTCCTTTTTCCTCTATAAGATTTAGAACCTCTGTAGGGAGAAATATCGAGCTTTGAATGCTCTTTCTTCTCCCTCTATAAGGTTTAGAATCCCATTAGGCAGAGAGTTTGAGTTATGGACGCTCATGTTATTTTTTGTTCTCTCTACAGAGTTTCGAATTCCTTTTAAGAAGAGTTGCTGAGTTCTAAATTGTTTCACTTATACTGCAGCTTTCACTGCCGCTTTGTAAAGACAGTGAACGCACTAATACTGTGCCATACTCCAATGTATATGTTACTTGTGTATATTATAGCATTCATAAATACAGACAGACGTGTATGTACATTGAAATACATTGAGAGGAAAGTTAATCATAAAACAAATATATTGTGTTTTTGAGTTTCCAATTTTTTTCTTAAGTCTGTAGATTATAAACTGCATTATCAAGAGGTCTGTAGGAATTTCTACTGTAGGTGAATTATGGTTACTGACATGAGTCCTCTTTAACCCCTGTAACTGTATATACTTGTGTATGGACGTGTGAGCCACAGAGAGGTGCTTAAGAGACACGTAAGTTCCCTCGTCTTCTAATATCATGTTCATTTTCCCACTATAATCTACCTTGTCCATAATTGCTCTTTCATAAGGTGAAATCTAGGATCTTTACTTAATTCATGGTATAACTTAACAAATCTTTGGGGACGACTGTGTTGCAGAGGTGTGAGCTGTGCTCACGCCTCTGCAACACAGTTGTCCTCAAAGATTTGCTAAGTTATACCATGAATTAAGGAAAAATCCAAGATTCCACCTTACGAAACAGACAAAGAAACTGTGATAGTAATTATGGAGAAGGTTGATTATAGTGGACAAATGAACATGATATTAGAAGAGGGAGGAACTTAGGTGCCTCTTAACGTGATGTTAAACCAGGCTAAGATGTTCACTGTTTTTGTATCTTGTCTTAACATACACACTGCTGGTTTATCTTGCGCTAAGATACATACTGTTGTTGTATCTTGTATTAAAGATATGTATTTATATATGTGGCTGGAAAAAGTGTTCTGACCTATCTCTGGCTACAGGCTGGAAAAAATGTTTTAAAATACCGACA